GCCCCGCGCCGGCCGGAGGCGGCGCCCGAGCCCCGCGGAGCCGCGGCCGCCCGCGCGGAGCTCCCGGCACAGCCCCGAGCGCGGGGCGCCCTGCGCGAGCACCGGAGCTCCGGGAGGAGGGAGAGGAGACACGGCCCCCAGGCCGGGAGCTCACAGGAGTTCATCCCACAGCTGCAGCCCAGCAGATTCCATAGTTCTGTGTTTGTTTTTCCTCCACAGCGGCACTGACCCGGCTTCAACCCTCTCTGGGCTTTGGCTTCAACTTCTTTTAGGTCCCCAAACCCTCAGCCCTTAGAAGGAGATCCCTCCCTCATGGATCTGCCAGAAGCCGCTGCCCCTCTGCAACGGACTGAGGTGGGAGCTGGAGCCCGACCTCCAGCCCTGCATCCCTCTTGCAGCACCTCCGAGACCCATCCCAGCTTCATGCTCGAGAGGAGGCCCCAGGCAGAGCCCAAGCGCCCACCCTGCTGCCCCACGCGCCACGGTTAGTGAGGATGCCAGGAGCCTCCGGCCAGCGCCTGCTTCACATCTTTATTGTGCAGCCAGCAGCTTCCRCGACAGCCTCCGCGCGCTGCTTCCTACCACCCGCTCTTCCCCCCCTTCTTCTTCTTCTGCTGCTGTTTCTTCTTGGTGGCCGGGGCCCCCGCTGGCTTTTGGTGCCTGGGCGGAATGACATTACTGGAGACGGCGGCGGCGCTGCCCGGCCGGGGGGACGTCGGGGGGCTGCTGGCGGCCTTGCTGGCGTCGCTGAGGGGACAGGGCACCTCGTGAGGACGAGCATGGGGCAATGCAAGCCGGGGCAGCCCCATGAGCCCGGCCCACAACAGGTACTCACAGCTCGGAGCCAGCCGTGGTGGAGCCCTGCGTGCCCTTGCCGACCTGGTCCTTCTTCTTGCCCTTCTTCCGCCCGCGGTAGTAGGAGCGCTCCCGCATGGGCAGCCAGCGCTCCGGGTCAGGCGTCACCTTGGGGTCGTAGTTCTTGGGCAGCTTTCCTGCGGAACGGGCAGCGCAAGGGAAGGGTGGCGGGGTCAACGCGCCAGTGAGGGGGACGTGCCGAGCCCGGAGCACCTGCCCGGCTCCTCGTCCAGGAGCTGAACGGGGAGAAGCCCCGCTCGGAAGAGAGTGTCGGGAGCAGCCGGGTTCACAGCGAGGCGGCCAAGGGCTGCGCCACACAACTCACCCTTCTTCTTTTTCTTCTTCTTCTTCACGTCCCCTTGCCTGCCAAGGGAGAGGAGGGGAAGGTCACAGCCGRCACAGAGAGGGCCCGGGCAGCCCCGGCTCTCCCCGACTGGGCTTTGCTGCTGCTGCTGCTGTGTCCCGTGGGTGCTTGCAGCTCCCCAGGCACCCCAGGGTGCACAGTGCCCTCACCCTTGCTCCTTCTGCTGGCTGTCGCCCGCCAGCTTCCCGGCCTTCTTGCGAACGTAGGTTGCCCCGGGGGAGTTCTCCAGCGCGTCCACRTCTACCTTCAGGGACAGGCTGTCCGAGGACGGCAAGTGCTTGCTGAGGCTGCCAGGGGGGAGCTCAGGGATGCAAACCGGGTTGGCTGGCGCAGGAGGGGACCCTCAGCAGGGACTGAGCCCCGGGCGACGTGGGACGGGACAGAGCTGCCCCCAGGGCCGAAACAGCCACGGGAACAACCACAGCGACTACACGAAGTGGCTCCCAAGGACTCCCCCTGGGCACCCGGCTGTTCTTGGCACCTGCCTCACTCTTCCTCACAGGAGAGGAGGCCCAAATTCGGCATGTGGCCGAAGCCGAGGGAGGAAAAGCCGCTTTCCCCTTCCAAAGGATACACCTTTGCCTTCTCGGGGTCCACCAGGGAGTAGGCGGAGATGAGCTGCGCCAGCGTGTGCACATCCTTCGGGTTCTGCCTTTGGGGTAAGAAACGAAAGCCGGGCTCAGCGAGGCTCGTCCCCGCTGCTGCCCCTCGGGCCAACACTGCGTGTCAGCGACACGGATGAGCCAGGCACAGAGAGGCCTCCGAAGCAGCAGCGCTGGGGGAGGAAACGGCGCYGGCCCCGCTGGCAGGAGGTGCTGCCCGCGGGCCCCTGCGCTCCCCTCGCGCGGCTCCCCGCTCACTTCCAGAGCTCCTCCAAGTCGCTGATGGCCGCCTCCTTCCTGCCGTGCTTCAGCTTGAAGTTGGCCGCTTCCCGTATGAGCGAGAGGTGCACGGGGGACTTGGGCTGCAAGACACAGCGGCAGCTGCAGCCGTGGACCGGGACGGAGCCGCCCGGGCCGCGYGTCCAGGGCTCCAGTGCCGCCACAGGAACCACCCCTGGATCCCACCCAGCCGGGCCGCGGGACCACGCGGTGCCGGGAAGGGCCGGGCAGGAACCGCGGCGCTCTGCAGGCCCTGCCTCGACTTGCCTCGTGCTGCTGGTACCACTGGATGGCCTGCGTGAAGACCTCGATGGCGCTGTCGATGTCCTCCTCGTGGCTGTACATGGTCACCAGCGCGGACACCTGCCAACACCCCGAGCAGCTCTGGGCAGGCGCTCAGCAGAGAGCCGGCCAAGACCCTCCCAAGCAGTCGCTCCCACAAGAAGGTCCCTGCCCCTCTCTCCTGCAGGGCAACCTGCAGACCGTGTTCACCCAACGGAGCCCTCTACGGCCGAAGCTCCCCAAGCGGCAAGCACGTCCCTCCCATTTGCCCCCCAAGATGAGACATCAGCACTAAAGATCATGGCTTAAAGCTCTTCTCCCTAGTGCCCAGTGTCCTAGAGCAGCTTCCCAGCTGCTCGTGCAAGGTCAGCGGCTGCTCCAGGATGTTACACCAGGACATGCAGGCAGTGCCGGGGGGGAGAGCAGGCCAAGAGCACCCCCGCTGGCAGCCAAGCACCTTCACAGCCAAGCCAGGCCCCCCCGCCCCGATGTATCCTCAGCGTAAGGAAGCTGGGCTCAAACTCCTTCCGCGGGACAGCAACAGGACAGGAAAGGAGCCACCAGTGCTCCAGGGCACTCGCGGGGCTCCTGGGAGCGGTGCTCACCATGCCGGGCTTGTGCTGCAGCTCCTCGATGCTCCTCAGGATGATGCAGGCCTTGGTGACGCTGCCTGGGGGAGAGGAAGTGCATGCTCGGAGGCGACACCGGGCTCGTGTCCCTAGCCTGAATTTCCTCTAGGAAAACAGCCGGGACACAGGGATCCCCCTTCCTTTGAACTATGGCTTCACACAGAGAGCACCTGAGTGCATCTCTCAGCTGCACGCACTGGCCCTTGCTGCCCCTCGCCCCGGGCAGACCCTGGCTACCTTGAGCAATCTTCAGCTGGGCCATGGTGAGCTTGACCTCAGCGGCGCTGGCTGGGTGCTGCTCCGCAAAGTCCTGTGGRCGGAGGCAGGGAGAGCTGGGCCCGCAGTGGCGGCAGCGCCCACCTCCGAAAACACGGGCACTGCAGCCGCTCACCAKCAGCCCGGCAGCCGCCACGTACCTGCAGGAGGCCCACGGCCCTGGCGTGCTGCTTCTCGCGGCACAGCTGGGCGGCCTGGATGAGCACGGGCAGCAGGTGCTCGGGGCTCTGCGCCTGCAGGCTGCCCGCCAGCTTGCGGCACTGCTCCGCCTGCCCGGGACAGAGCCCCGCTCAGCACGGCCCCGGGGGGCTCCCCATGGAGCCATCCCGCCCGGAATGGTCCTTGTGCAAGGCTCCCCATTGGCAGTGGGCTCCCCTACCTGGTTGGTGTACATGGCCAGCAAGGCTTTGTTGAACTCGATGGCCTGGAGCTGTTTCTTGGAGAGCTTGTGCTCCACGCCTTCTGCGTTGGTCAGCTTCACCTTCTTCTTCGAGTCAAAGACGTTCTGGTCCTGGGGAAATTGCCCGTCATCAATTGCTTGGACACAAAAAGGTCTCCGGGCCTCTGACTTAACTTCTGTTTTTTGTTGTCTTTCCCAGCTATTCCCCCCAACCACAGAACCAGGCTGAGCTAATTCCCAGGAAGACCCACCCTGAGAGCAGCCAGGTAAGCCATTCTGTACCTTGTTAATTGTGATGATGTTGTTTGCAATGACAGCAAGCAGCCCCACGTCTGTTGGCCTGGGGATTGGAAGGAGAGGGAGAGGAAAGCGCATGGCTGCGAAGCAAGGGTCCCTCTACAGCTGGAAGAGCTTGTTTTGGAAGAGCCCCTACTTCAACTTGATGATCTGGTTGTAGAGCTGCAGGGCATCCTCCGTGCGACCCTGCAGCTGCATGATGTAAGCCATCTGCCCGTGGATAATGGCCAGCTCAGCCTCAATGTCTTCCTCGGTCACATCCTGGAGGGAAACGAAGAAAAGATAACATGAAAACCAAAGGAGACATGTCACCTCATGCCTCTTTCCCTGGCTCTATCTTTGGGCTTCCGAGCTCTCCCGGGTAGCCATGAGCAGCAGGGACAGCAGCCCCTTCGCAGCAGCCTCATCCACCACACGCCGGCTCCGGGCAGCAAACGCCTCTTAGGACACCGGCAACTTACGGAGTCTTCCGAGAGCGACTGGCGGCACAGCCCTGGAGGGGGGAGAGAAGATGAAGAGCCTGATGCAGAAGACGTCAGGGGAAAGCAGTCAGGACACGCGTGGTAGGGTGCTCCAAGTGCACACACGAAGGACCAGGCTCCGGAGAGGCGCGCGCAGAGCCTCCAGCCTCGCCACGCCTTTACCTTCCGCTTTCTGCAGCTTCTTCATGGCTTCATTCAGCTTCCCCTGGCCGATCAGGGCGCACGCGCTGTTGTAACACAGCTCATAGGTAGCTTCTCGGAGTCCCAGATCTTCCTAGCACAGAAAACAGAGGTAATGCAGCATGAACCAAAGCCGGGCCTTGCAGATTGGACACGCGACAGAGCCAAGGGCTCCAGGCACGCTGTCCTCCCGGCTCTCCTGAGGAGGCACTCACGGGCACGACCCTCTCCCACGTGCTCTGTGCCGCCACGACGGCCGACAGGTTGGTCTTCCTCTCCTCCTCATACTCGTCCTGCGAGTTGCGGATGAGGTCCCGGTAGGTGGCCAGGCACTCGTCGTAGCGCTCCAGCCGGTAGAGCTGCGCGGACAGGGACGCGGCGTGAGGCTCCGCGTGGCGCCGCGAGCCGGGGGCCACGGGCCGGATCCCGCACTCACCACCTGCCCATAGAGCTCCTTGAGCTGGTCGGTGCGCTGCGCGGCGCTCTCGATGGTGCGCAGGGCGCTCTCGATGCGGTTCAGCCGGTACTCGCAGTAGGCCTTCTCGAAGGCCATGCCGTCGCTGCGGGGACAGCGCGGGGCTGCGGATGGTGCCGGTGCCAGCGCCGCCGCCAGCCCCGCGCGGCTGCTCCCATCCCACAGAGCCGCTCCAGCCGAAAGGGGAGCTTCCCTTCTCGGGTCCCTCTCCACAAACCCGGYGTTTTAGACCTGCTCTGGACCCAGGCGGAGATTCCCCAGAGCTCCTAGGGACTGCGTGAATCAAAGGGGTCTTTTTAGCAGCCCGGCATCAGCAAAGGGCCCAGCCTGGGTGCTGCAGCAGGAGGAAACGGTCGGGACCGCCACACACGTAACCAGACCCCCGGGGCGGGAAGGCGACGGGATAGCAGGGCGACACGGAGCTAGGGATGACGTTCATGTGTCCTGGATCCTCACGGTGAGTCCGCGCGGCTGCTGTCACCCCGAAATCCGCTCCGGCGTGGCCGCGGATCCCCGAGGATGCCCGGGCTGCGCCCCGCGCCGGCGGTTCCCGCGGGGAGCGCACCCTTCCCGTGGGACACCCGCTCTCCTCACCCGCCGAGCGCCTTGGCGTGGGCGCCCATGAGGCCGAGCGCCTCGCGGAAGGCGCCGCTCTGGATGAGGCAGACCACCTTGCAGCGCAGCGCCGTCGCGTCCTCCCTGCTCGCCTGCAGGACTGACACACACCGCGCTCGCACCCCTTCATCACCCATTCCCCCGCTTTTCGGGCGCTTTTCACGCCGTTTCGCCCCGTGGCAAGGCGCGCCCCCCGCCCGCTCCCGGCGGGGCCGCACTCACTGCGGTTGAGGGGCTTGAGGGCGCGGGCGAAGTCGCCGTTCTGCCCGCAGCGGTTCACCTCGCCCCACAGCGCCGCCATGGCGGCCCCGCCGCCCGCCGCCGCCGCCGCCGCCATCTTGTGTCCCCGCCGCCGCCGCCGGGCGCCACCCGGCCCGGAAGGGGACGGGCCGCGGCCGCCGCGTCGCCTTCCTGCGCGAAACCGCGGGATCGCACCCGAAAACGGACCCGAAACGGACCCGACACCCCCAGCGCCACCCCTGCCTTTCCTAGGGCGCGCCCCCCCCGCTCCCTTTCCCCATTGCCCCCCCCTTTCCCCATTGTCCCCTCTCCCAATTATCCCTCCCCTCCAGAGCTCATTAATCAGCACCAGCGCCAGCACCGGGGCTGACGTGGCCGTGGGAAGACAGGGCATCCCCAAAATATACGGGATCCCCCACCCCCCCTTCCCCCGCTTCCCCCTTTCCATCTTTTCTGCTGGAAAAGGGCCCCTCTCGCCGGCATCGCTGCCTGGGTTGCGGCGCTGCGAATATTACAGGGTTTCACCCCAAAAAYAGCCCCATTTGTCACCTGCAACTCGCCCCGCTGCCCCAGCGGAAGCCGAGCGGCACYGGCGTCTTAAACACGCTTAAAAGCTGCCAAATACCCCAAGATCTGTGCAACAGCAACCCCGCTGAAGAAAAATAAATAATAAACAGAATACTCTTTTATTGGAGTTATTATTATTAAACAGACAGAAGTCRGGTGGCTCTTTCAAACGTTTTATTGTTGAAAGGTCTCCCCCGGGAGGACAGTGGTGCTGTAGCGGCAGCCCCTGCCCCTCAAGCGCAGCTGTCAGCGCAACGGGCACAGACAGACACACACGTCAATAAATAAAACAAAAYAAAATAAAACAAAAGGGGGAAGCAGCAGGGGCGGGACAAGGAACAGCCGCTTCGCATCCCCGAGGGAATCCCCGAGGGACGCGGAGTCCCCTCGGAGCCGGGAGTCCAAGAGGATCTGAGCCATCTAACCACGCAGAGCACTTTTAATGGAATAAAAACGGAGTGTAGAAGATTTTTGGTCAGAAGGTTTTGGTACCGAGCTGGTTAGCGGGCTTGCCGGCGCGCTCCCTGCAGAGCGTCTGACGGCACGTTGCTATAAACGGGCGATTCAGACCACGGAGAGGTACAAAGACAATGTGCCAAAAACATCGGGAATTGTGTCACCTCGCGGAAAAAGAGCCACAGCTCTAGACACAGCATCAAATACCAACGAACAGCGCGGGAGAACTTAAAAATGCCCCTGAAAYCAGGCAGCGACCTGCAAAGATGTCATGCAGCAACTGCGCTGTGCGGAGGGGAAAACAGCTTCGCTCTGAGGCCGCGGGACACGCGGCAAGTGTGGATCTACAGGGGAAACGTAGATGTACTCCGTGTAGGCTACACACAAAATAAATTAGGGAGGGGAAATGCAGAGSTTTTGTGAATGCTTCAAATCGACACAGACCCATCAATGAACACGCTACCACCTTTGGTAACGAGAGCAGCAATACAATACTTACAAATAGAAGCAGCTCCAAAGAGATTAAAAAAACAAAAACCAAAGGAATTTAAACATCATTTTCCCTCCCCCCCAATGGCATTCAGTTTTGCATGTCACAGCATCAGTGAATTTACAGAACACTTGCACGTTGCAGCCGCGTGACGGTGGAGAACGAAGCGGGTCGAAGCGGGAACGAGGCTAAAATTCTGGCTTTTCCCCGGGGAAGCCCGGCTGCCCTTCGGCTGCCTCCTCCAACGGACACCCCGGATGTAAGCGGCCCGAGGATCTGCCACCGGCTCTTCCCGCGTCGTGCCTGTTTCCATTCAGGAACACGCCGAGTACATCTSATTGATGGTGGTGCTGCACGACCTCTTACCTCGCCCACCGCTTTGAGGTGTCCTAGTTCAATCACTGTATTCAAAAGTTTTCCAAAGCTCGGCTTTGCTGCTCGACTTGAAAACGTCGCTTGCTCTTCTCCGCAAGCGCCCGCCAACGTTCTTGTTCCGGCTCCCAACGTTTCACACGGACACGAAACAGCGCGGGAACGACAACTGGAAGCCGGGAGAGCGCCTACGGAACGTACCGTGGGCAGGAGCGGCGCCGGCCGCCGCGACGCCCCGCGAAGCCGGGAGATCCACGGGCCACGCGGCCGGCGCGGGCGGCGGGAGGCAGTGCCGGGGGCGCCCCGCGTCACCACTGCTGCCAGCTGAAGTCGTCGTTGCTGCCGAAGACCAGGAAGAAGCCGAGGATGGTGGCGAAGATGACGGTGTTGCCGGTGAGCACGAGTGCACAGGCGCCCCAGTAGATCTGCAAATTGGGGGGACGCCTGGTGAGGGGGGCAGGACTCCCCCCGGGTAAAGGCACCGGGCAGCGACAAAGGGCGACTCACCAGCTCGGCCCTGGCGAACACGATGGGCAGCCCGAAGGCGGAGACCACRATGCCCGTGGTGAGGAAGATGGCGAGCTCCTTGCAGGCGTTGCTGGCGGCGTCCGTGTCGTCCACGAGCCGCCGYGCCACGCAGTACGGCATGGGCGACAGCACGTAGAAGAAGAGCACGAACAGCGGCCAGTACTGGCTGCGGGAGCGAGGGCAGGCATGGAGCCGGCGCTGGGAAGGGGGGCGCGGGCCCAGGGACGTGCCCAGCGCCCCGGGCACCGGCAGCGCCCGCCTTACTTGTACTGCGGCAGGGCGCATCCCAGCATGAGGAACATGAGGCCCACGGCGCCGCCGAAGGACAGGCTGATGAGGGCTGCCGCCGGACCAGGAACGCAGCRAAACGGAGCGGGGGAAAAAGACAGGTTAGTCAATGGGAAACGTTATCGTGACAAAAGCAAAAACGGGGGAAACGGCCCCAAAAGAGGTGGGGGGGGGGCGCGGGAAATGTCCACGCGGAGCTCACGGAGGGAGGGGAACGAGCGCATCCCCCCCACCCGCGTTGCCAGGACGACCGCTCGGCGCCTCCCCGCCCCCCGGGTTGCCAGGGTCACTGCACCCCCCTCCCCAGGTTGCCAGGGCGACCGCACCCCCTCCGGGTTGCCAAGACGACCGCACCCCCCCCACACACGTTGCCCGCACCCCCTCCGGGTTGCCAGGGTGACCGCACTCCCCCCCGCCCCACACACACCCCGGGCTGCCACGGCGACCGCACCCCCTCCGGGTTGCCAGGGCAACCGCTGCGCTCCCCCCACCCGGGTTGCCAGGACGACCGTTCCCACTGCCCCCCCCGCCGTGGCGCGCGCACCTTTGATGCCGGCCATGGCGCGTCCTGCGGAGCCGCCGCGCAGCCCGCGCGCCGGGGAGCCGGAAGTGCGGAAGCGTGCGGGCCGCTTCCGGGCGGCGGGCGGCGCCCCGCCCC